CAAAAAGGCGCAGTTAATACAGTGTTGGTCAACATCTGTGTTATTCAGTAATTACAAAGTGTCAAAAAGACGCAGTTAATACAGTGTTGGTCAACATCTGTGTTATTCAGTAGTTACAAAGTGTCAAAAAGACGCAGTTAATACAGTGTTGGTCAACATCTGTGTTATTCAGTAGTTACAAAGTGTCAAAAAGACGCAGTTAATACAGTGTTGGTCAACATCTGTGTTATTCAGTAGTTACAAAGTGTCAAAAAGACGCAGATATTCAGTGTTTTATTTTGGTGTATTTATGTGATAAACGTAATAAAAATTATACAATGCTTCTATATGAAAGGATAAGTACACTGAATAAAACAACATATGGTAACAAATTATTTTAAATAAAATTTTCAAATATATCAGTCTCTGGATGCGTTTCACCCCCGACCCATCTCCCAGAAATGTATTTTATTATCTAATATCTTTAAGTGATTGAATAATGCATTTTATATATTTCCTGTAGTTTTTATTGACTAAATGCATGTAACATATATGAAAAAACATTTATCTGTAAGATAGTGTAAGTAAAATATTGAAGAATTTAATGAAACAGATGATTATCAATTCTTTGTAGATATTTATAGGTATCCCAACATTTGAGCAAAGAGAAGAGATTTTTAGAGTGTTGACCCGTAGTTTACGCCTTGCTTCAGATGTTGATCTTACACAACTTGCCCTTCAAACACCAGGCTATGTTGGAGGTGATATTCAACTACTCTGCCAGGAGGCTACCTTAACCTGCTTAAGAAAGCACAGTAATACCGAAAAACAATCTGTAAGTAAAGTTGTCCTGAAGTGTTAACTTTAAAACATTCAGAGCACTGTATTTGTACTTTGTTGTAGAATAACTGTTGATGTGATAGGTGCAGTTGGTACAAATACTGTGATGATAAATATAAGGTGAATTATAAAGAAAGTCAAATGACATAGTGCACAAAATAAAAACAGTTAAACTGATCGGATAACAGAAAACCATTTTCAAACAACTGATTCTTCTAAGAGAATTATACAATTAGAAAAATATGTACGTTTAAAAAGAAACATACTAGTAACATAAACCACTTGCTGTCATGTAATTGTGTTAACGTTAGCTTATCCTGAAAGTTATAACTTTCAAAATGAAAGTAGATATTGTTAGTAGTGTTACGTGACAAAGAAGCCTTCAGAACAAGACCAAGAGATAAACTAGCATAAGAACAAAGATTTTATAAAATCTTTACTCAGCAGTATTATAATATTCCTTTACAGCTTAGAGAAATATCAGAAGTACATTGTTTAGAACTGAATGAACAGATTTATGTAAAATAAAGTTAACAAAAACTTGAACTTTTATGTGGTTGGTGTTTTTTTATATATTTCATCAAACAATTCAGTTACATTCTACTTCATTAAAAAAAAAATGTTTTATTTAATTAACTAAATTGAAACTCTAATCATTCAATAAAACAATTATATCTCATGGAAATAATAAACATGCTCAAAAAGTATAGAAGAAATATTTTCAAGATCTTTCCATACTTTTTAATAGAGAAAGACCACAATAATTATATTTATTTGACATGTTGACTTGAATTACTTCTGTATATGTCATCAGAAAAGAAAAGTTAATTTAAAAAAATAATGTCCCCAGATTTACTTAAATTAATTTAGTATTACAACATCAAACAAAAGTTTGGTGACTGGATGTGAAGACAAATCTCTGTACCTGAGCTTATCCCCCTTTTTTGTTGTTTTAATTAAATTAAAACTACGAAAGTACTGTTTAAAAAAAAACTCAATTCATCACTTACCATGTAATGACTAAAATTAAGAATATTTTAGATAGTTTCATCACGATAATGATACCAGCTCTTACAGATGTCGCTGCTTTTAAACCCTTGGTACTATAATTAAAATAGCCTGTGTGTATAAAACTTTTCAAGTAGTAGAATTAAATAACTTCAGTTGTAACATGTTAAGTATAAAAGAATATTTTTTAATAATTATAATTCTCCCACCTTATTTTTTAACAAATCTATTTTAAATAAATAACAGCCCCTTAACCTGTCATATACAGAACAAATCTATTTTAAATAAATAACAGCCCCTTAACCTGTCATATACAGAGAAGTCTACAAAATACACAACATTTGGTATCCAATATTATATATTTTAATAACCATCCCACACAGTGATAAACATATACAAGTAGGCTTGTTTTTTTGGGAATATCATACTACATGTTCCTGTACAATTTACTAAATGAGTCTTACATGAAACTGGTGTCTTCCTATTCAAGACCTTTCACTTCCACCCCAGGGTCATGATAGTGAAAAGCAAGAGCTCTAAACCTAATAGCCTTCAATTTTTCAAGCTTCTTGGCTTCATTCACCCGCATTTCACCCAGTCTCTTAGTTTTTAAAAGCCTATTTCCTCGAGCAACATTCAGAAGGTGTAGCCTTTCCCAGTACTGCAAGGTATTTGGATCTAACTCTTCTAGTGAAGGAAAAGGACCTAACCTGAGATCCCAGATCCAATCAGGATATTCACTGTCATCCTTAATTTTGATATCCTGCCCATCTTTGTAAATGTTGCTGCCACAGACGTAATTGACTAGCTTGTGCGGATCAGTTTCAACGGGAAGCCTTTTCTTTTGCACAGCTACACCAATTGCTCCTTTTCCTTTACTTTTTCCTCCAAGTCCAGCTGAAACAGAAACATATAAATGTAACAGGATTTGTAAACTAAATAAAAAATATAATATGTTGAGAGAAAAAATGTTTATTTCCAAACTTGGATGGCCTTCAGAAGATGTGAAGACCAATCAGTTTTTAGTAAAACATGTTAATTCTGCTAGAAGATACCAAGATTAAACATAAATATTATTGTATTATTAAACCTTGCATTAAACATCTGTTTCGTAAATTACTTAAATTAATTATTACAATTCATTTACTTAATCTAGTTCACACCATAACGGTCATTGTTCATGACTATTTTCTTACAATTTATGTTCTGTTGTAAAACATGCTGCAGCTGTTTTATGTTAGTATAAAGATCTGGAATAAAGATTTTATTTATTTTTTACTCTTTGTGTATTTTGAAAATGTAACATAGATTAGTACAAGTTTATACAAATAAGTCGGGTGGAAATATACATTTCTGCACTATTAGTAAAGTTAGTTGTGAGTAGCTTTTGGAATTGAGACAAAGAAGCATTGTTAATGACAGGTGCAGAGACCTAACGCATATACTAATCTGTTGAAAATAAGTTCCAACATTGGTGAATATTAAGTGATGCATTTATGGTGTGGAAAATATTGACAGAGTACAATCTTAAACCTTCAGCTGAATGCTTGGAAATGTGGGGAAAAAAAAAAGTAAATACGATTGTGTGATGAATTCATATTTTTACGAAACGTAACTAAGACCTCGTTTGGAGTACTTTATCCACATTACACAGAATATATTGAATTGTTTGAGAAAGTCCAGAGACTAACTACCCAAATGATTCCTGGTTCACAACATTAATGACATGATGATAACTTCACCTTGTTTCCTCTGGGGTGCAGAACTTGAGATGGCCTGAATTAGGTGTTTAAATTGTTCGGGGCTTTAATAAGCTGCCCAAGGGGGGGTTCAGAGAAGAAATGAAAATATAACACTGGATACCAAAAGAAACAAATACAAGCTACAGAAGTTCAGATCAAAGCTGATCATTTGGCTGAATGTTTTCCTGATTAGTTATGAATTCGTAAATGCTTTAGTGGGTTATGTGATTGGTTCTAGTAGCTTCAAACTCCTTTAGTTTTGTTAAATCATTTTCCTGGAGGTTGGTGACCTTGAGGGGACGAATGGCCTTTTTTTTTATACCTAATCGTCTAAGTTTTATACATAAAAATAAAATAATTATCTCTACTTTGGGACATAGGCCTGTATTAACTTCAAGACTTAAAAAAATAATCATTATTATAAATGACTTACATTTGTCATCATTTGATAATTATGTTCATGGCCGAGATAAGGTTCAAACAACAGTTAAAAGTATTATGCATTACGTACGTGAGGTTAACGTAACATCTACCTCAATTCAATTTTCAAATCCAGCCCATGAAACAAGTTGGGCTAAACCTTGGAATACTCAAAATATCGAACTAAGCAATAGAAGTGGGATTAGCACATAATTCAAGTTCTTTATTTGTTTTTTTTTCAGATTACCTGAACCTTGAAAATCGTTTACTTTATGCTAGGAATCCTAATTCAATCAAATTGAAAAACAAAATTTCCAAGCCTTCCAACTTCAAAGAACTGTGGTATTTGTTATAACTTATATTACAGAACTATCTTATTTTTTTCAAAATTAACTAATAAAAAACATGCAACATACCCATCGATGGTTTTTTAGCATATCCTGATTTTGTAGCGTAGAGTGGTGTCCAGGAAGTACCTAACAAATTAATATTCTTAATTTTTTTAATGGTAACAAAGGTTCTTTTTACGTTCCAAGTAATAGCGGTAGCCATTTTTATTTGAGTATTTTAATCTCGTCACCAATACCTGCCAAGAAATCACTAATATTTATATTATTAAAAACTATAAATAAATTGTGGTTTCAAAATACCATTCTGCTATTTTTGTTTGAAACTTTCTTTTTTACGTTAATCTTATCATCCGAGCATAATAAAATAATTTTTTAAAGGTAATAGAAACAATGCTCAAACTTTTAGTCGTACTGAGTATGTTGCCATATAGTAGTTTTAAAAGTAATTTTAAAAAAACAAAACATACTGTTAAGTAACTTTTCAGACTTTTAACGTGTGTATTTATATTTGTATTAAGTAATGTATTTGGACTGTCACAACGTTTTTTAATGCACAAGCTTTCGGCTCAATTACCTAAGCCTTCTACAGGTGCGAGAGGTTTAATAAACAATAGAATCTGATGGAACAATTCGAATCACAAGTCATTTCAGCCATGTGGCGTTATAATGTAACGGTCAGTCCCACTATTCGTTAGTAAAATAATAGCCCCAGAGTTGGTAGTAGGTGGTGGTGACTAGCTGCCTTCCCCTAGTCTTTCACCACTAGAGACGGCTAGCGCAGATGGCCCTCGTGTAGCTTTGCGCGAATTTCAAAACAAAAATAAAGTTTCAAGTATATTAATTATCCCATTGGCCTAACTTGATACAGGACCCCATGGGAATGCGCATTCCTTTTGTATAGAAAGTTTTTAGGGTGTTCGTTCAGTTTTAAGCAATGTTAGCAGTAGTTTTATTTTATGGGTATAACGTGAATGGATGGTTATTCCGCGGAATACTTAATAGCGATCACGTATAAAAAGGTTTGTTCAATTATATTTATCTGTGTACCGAATAATTAAATCTGCAGGAGCAAGCGAAAAATAATAAAAATATTTTATGGCACTGCAAGTAAAATGAAATGTCTTCACAACAGTGAAAATTTTGGTTGCAGAATATAAACAAAATGTGTATCTGTAAAAATTATATACTACTAATTTTACAAACAAATAAATTTTATATAAACTGTATTGAAAGATATCAAAATCAGCGTGAAGCAAAGACTATGCAAGCATGTAATATACGCATATATATAAAACAATCTGGCGGTTTTTTTGTTTTTTTGCTCCGCACAAGAACTTTGACGACAAAACCTTGTCGAAACGTTGTGCATTTGCTGATATGTTAAACTTATATCAAAGTTTTTCTTCATTACCCATTCAAGCCGTCTCCAAGCATTATTAGACCTAAATCCCGATGATTGATCCAGAGGAAAGAAAATAAAATACGTATATACGAAACGACTTTGGTGCGGAACATGTTCTGGCAGTTCTGAAAATTTCTTTGCCAAGTACAATATTTCTATTTTATGCAAGTACGTATATTAGTATTAATGTTACATAATTAACTAAGCTCGTGTACTTAAAGTAATCATAAGCAATTCTCCATAAGTTTTTTTTTTTAACTTAAATTAATTTTAATTTGTCAGCATGCTGAATAGGCCTAGCTTCTGCAACATTTCGCCAACTTCATAACTAATGAACAACGTGGAGTATAGTTATCTGTCAGATCACATTTTATTGCTTTTAATTTCTTGAGGTGAATATTTAATTTAGAAACATATAATGTGTCATGTTTCGATACTCTTAATATTTTTGACTATGGTAAAGATATAAATGGTTAATGTGTATGAATTATAATGCATTTTTGCATTAAAAATTGCAATTTTTCACGTTTTGACGTTATCTTTATTGTTTTACTTTTAGTTAGTTTTGGGTGGCAAATTTCTTAAAGCATATGTATTTACATATATGTATATTTTTTATACTAGATAGGTCAAGAACAACAGAAAAGAATTATAATGGGATACGGTGTATTTGTTAAAGTTGTGGTAATCTCGGTTGATCAAGTCATAAAATGGAAGAAACAGATGTCACGTCTCAGTCACTGGGTTGCAGCTATTTTAAAAGGTAACGACATTAAAGAGGGAACTGTAGTTGAATGTATCCATCATCCAGTTGCTCAGTTATGCAAAATATTGTGTATTGTAATTGAGGAAACAATTCCAAGTCAGACATCTCGTAAACTTCAGGTAAAGGTCAAAGCTATTATAAGTCGAGAGAGATATGAACAAAATATTAACCCTAAAGGTCAAAAGCCTGTCCATCTTGGAGGACTAAACTCTCCAGAGTTATATCTGAAACAACTTGTCAGCTTTCCACTTCTTTATCCCCAAAGTTTGTGTCAATTAGGTCTTGAAAGTTTTAAAGGGGTACTTTTAACAGGGCCTCCAGGTTGTGGTAAAACGTCACTTGTGAAGAAAGTTGCTTTTGATTGTAAAGCACTTCTTGTGACAGTGAGAGGTCCTGAACTCTGTCATTCTGAACCAGGAAAGAGTGAAATGGAACTACGAAAAGTGTTTGAGAATGTCCACCTTGAAAGTGAAGAAGGTCCTGCAATTCTGTTCATTGATGAGATTGACAGTATTTGTCCGAAAAGACATTCTGGAATTAGTGCTCACAGCAGAAGGCTCCTTGCACAGCTTCTAATTCTCATGGATGGTTTGGATGTTAGAAACAATTTTGTTGTAATTGGTGCAACAAATAGGCCTGACCTTCTTGACTGTGCTGTTCGAAGACCTGGCAGGTTTGATAAAGAGGTGATTTTATAGTTATAAACATACACAACACCATTATTATTAATATATGTGAACATGTATAGGTAATGGTGTTCAAGACACACCTTTATTAAGTAGATTAATGATACATCATGTTCTATTTTCACATTTTTGTTGCTGCAAATATTATAGTAATTTACCATTCATTTAAATGGATGTACACATGTATATAATAACTGAAGTTTTGGTGGAAATTATACTAGTTGAGAAAATTGTTTCCGTGACAAATCAGTGATTAAATAATAGCCCCCTTAACCTGTTATATACAGAACAAATCTATTTTAAATAAATAACATCCCCTTAACCTGTCATATACAGAACAAACCTATTTTAAATAAATAATAGACCCTTAACCTGTCATATACAGAACAAATCTATTTTAAATAAATAATAGCCCCTTAATCTGTCATATACAGAACACATCTATTTTAAATTAATAATAGCCCCTTAACCTGTCATATACAGAACACATCTATTTTAAATAAATAACAGCCCCTTAACCTGTCATATACAGGATACTTTCAGGTTTATTTATTTTCGTGTGACTTACTGTCATCGATAAGCTTATTAGAAGTTAATTGTGGACAGTTGTGTGCAAACTGTATTGTGTGCAAACTGTATGTTTAGTTTTTGGTATAAAGTTCAAAACAAAGTGCTTGTGTTCTGTTGTGCACTTATTGTACTCTTAACAACAAACTTACTAAATAAACCATTTAGCTTTGCACTTACTATACTCTCAATAACAAACTTACTAAATAAACCGTTTAGCTTCCCACCTACTGTACTCTCAACAACAAACTTACTAAATAAACCGTTTAGCTTCCCACCTACTGTACTCTCAACAACAAACTTGCTAAATAAACCGTTTAGCTTCCCACCTACTGTACTCTCAACAACAAACTTGCTAAATAAACAGTTTAGCTTCCCACCTGGTGTACTCCCAACAAACTTACTAAATAAACACTACACAAACTACAACACATGAGCAGAACTTAAAAACACACAAACATTATTCCTTCCCCAAACCTAGGTATGAATAAGATTCAATTATGCCTTCTTTTTACAAAGTAGGCATGAACAATATTATAATAATGTAAGAAACCTTCTGTTTCTGTTGAACAAACAATTTTTTTATTGTTATTACGTATCTCAATATTAAATTCACTGAACATCAACGTAACCACTAACTGTGTTCATAATAAAGATGCTATATTTAACTTGTTTTTCACAAAAAGATAGATTATAACAAACTAAAATTACTTCTTTACTCCTGCCATAAACTTCAACATCTTACATATCCTTAAGTAGAACTGAGCTGTGAATTTTAAGAAATCTAGTTAAAATACTGGTTTATCAATAACTTGTAAATGATTCTTTTCACGATAAAATAGTTAATATTAAACGTTCCTCTCCAAGCACCATTGATCATGTAATTCAAAATTATTTAAACAAGTCTTTCTAAACTATCTAACTAATGTGGCTAAACGGTTTCTTTAGTCCTGCCAGAAACAAACTGATTATAAACCAGTTATTGTCAAGTGGAATTAAGATGTAATCTAGACCTGGGTTTAAAATCACATTTTACTTACCTTTCAAACTTGCTATTGGGTATACAAATATCAATGGTTAAGCTATATTGGTTTCTCCCCTAGATAAACAGTTTGAATACAATAACAATTTTTTTTTTTAATATAGACACATTAGCTGAATAAGCCCAATCAACTTAGCAGTAAAGAACAATAACTCTTACTGGCCAACAGAGAACCAGAACAGAATATAAATGTAAGTACAGATCAATGGACATTAAATTATGATGGTTTGACCACTACTACTACAATTATTGTAAGTGTCACCATGTATTTTGGATAAATTCTTTTGTTTACATGAAATTATGTAATCCTAAACATGGATGATTCTTTATCTTTAAAAGGTGTGAATATTTACAAACACCGTGGTTACGTAAATATACTTGTCAAATTTACAGTTGATTGTCTGAAAACTAATAAATGCACAAAGTGAGCTTGCCTCTTGTGTTCGTACACCTTATTAGTTGTCACTTCTACTTAACCAAATATTTACTGAAACTGATAGTGACATTATTACAGGATAAACGGTTTGTTGTTAAATGACAGGAAGTACATGTTTTGTTTTTTCTTGCAGTGTATAAAGAAGATTCTCTATGCCTGAAGTATGTATCTGAAATGTCTTTCAGCAAAACATTTTAATTTAAGAATCCCCATGATTTATTGCTTCTAATCCATTACTTAAAGTTCTGATAAGGTTGAAGTTACCCAGTGAAGTCTACTGTACGGGATATTGCAGCAAGGTATTGGTGACCATATCAGAAACTCGTAATACAGGCCTGCTTTATAGAAAATGTCTATCTTAAGTGTCATAACAATTATGCTTAGTTCATGCTGTGAACATGTGCATCTCGGTTATTTTCAAACTTCTTCAAGCAGGATTCTCACTAGCGTCTCATAAGTAGAATTTAATAATCTCTAAGAACTTCAGTGTCTATAAAAACAAAACTATTTACAATGTACATGTGTTGATCTTCTGTAAGTGGGAAAAGTATTCAATGAAAAACTTTGTCCTACATACATATTCGTAATTTTCATAAGATTAAAAATACTATCATTCATCTGAATTTTGAAATATCGTATGTATAATCTGTGTGTATTTTAATCTCCTAAATAAATGTTTTTTTGTTGGGTTTCTTCAGAAATAATTATAATTTTCTTACCCTAATGCTAAATGAGGTTGGTTATTTGACCAACCTCGTAACCACCATTAAAAAAAAAAAATAAAAAAAAAACTTATTTTCTTTCTGTAATGACTGCAAATTGTAATGAAAGACCACATTTGTTTATTGTAAGTAGCATAAACCTAGTAACTATTTTCATGTGGGGGAATGTGTAGCTCGGTATTAAATTACATAACACACAAACTACTCTTGAGTGTACTTCCTAAAAGATCATTTATTTTAATTTAACCTGAAACATTCTCAACTTTTACATTTTAGTTACTTGTACAATAATAAAGAATACACATGAAAAACAAGAAATAAAGTATTTATGTAGTTCTTTCTTAGCTCTGGAGGACTGTTAACAAAACTTAACCCTACTTTTTCTATTAATTGTACTATTGAATTAAATAACACAGAATAATAACATGCAAAAAGGAACTATGTGTCATAACTATCACAATTTTTTCTGGTTTTCAAACTATGCTACATCAGCCATTAAAAACTTTTGTTAAACTATTTGTGTGTTCAATGGGAAGTAGACAATTATCTGTGCAGGTAATGGAGAAAAACATTGGCTTTAAATAATAGTCTTAAATGTTAGAGTACTAGTTGTAAGTTCTCATAATAAAAAAAAAAAAAAAAAAAAAATGCAACAGATGGTCAGGGCAAGAGGGGTCCAATTTTTCTCTACCACTCTGTAACTGAACATTAATGGCTATGAAAATTATGCTGGATGAGATTGAAAATTTTTTATTTCCTGTAAAATTAAGAATTTAAATACTAAACTTTAGTTTAATACCTCTGTTCTGATGCCCAATTTGCTTGTATATGTTGATAATAACTTGGTAAATTAAATAAATGTAGCTGTGACATGTACGCTTTCACATACCTGAATTGAAAGGGTTAATCATGTTTAGTTTAAAAACTGTTCAGCTGATCTGAAGACCAAGGTATCTACTTGTTTAAACTGAA